AGCAAGCAACGTGGTGTCAAGGATACTTACCGTACGACCTCCAGTGGCGCTCTACTCGATCTGCAAAGAGGAGGGATTCAATTCCAAGCATGCAGTGACGCAAAGCATGGCAAGAGACAATCTGATGTTTACATACGGTACATGGATCCTAGTTAGCTAGCTGACAGTACCATACTGAGCGATCAGGGCATGAATGCTCGGATCAATGCTCTGAGGGACAAAAAGTTGTTTGTGACCCAGAATGTGTATACATGGGAGCCCATGCACATGAGGAGGAATGACAGGTTCATTGTCGTCGACAAGAGCAAAGAGGAACCTGAATGATTCAATCAAGCAAATCGAATCAAGAAAGCAATCATGCCAACTGAGTGTGTCGTTGCAAGAAACAAACAAGCAGCGTATTCTGTTTCGTGAGCAAAGGTTTATTGGCTGGCAGCACAGATAACAGTCTAGCGTCATGATTGTCGTTGTGTTGCATTGAATGCAGTGAGGGGGTTTAAGCAACAGTGCGGGTAAGGGAAGGTTGCTGGAAGTATGCATAGGTATGATCTCTCATAGTCTAGTACCTAATAGGAAAGAACCATACTCGGTAGGCGGGTAGTATATGTAGGCGCTGGCTGGGGTCTCTCTTTTGCATGCAGCAACAATGCAATTTTGTCATCCGTGGTAGCATCACAGTGGAGTGTGAGTCCAGAGGGGCTAATACTCGAGTCGAGTCGAGTCTCAGTCGAAGAGTACGATGTTATTGGTAACTTTTCTTGTTAGCGCCTACTCTACATGATCAAGCAAACTTACTCGGTCCTGTGGCTTCGTTTCACACATCGCTTATACCGGAACGCCCAAACATTGGGGAGTATTAATTAGGCCACTTCAAGCAAGAACAATTCCCGTTTTGGGTATTTCAGGGCGACAAGGTAAACTATGGAGAGGAACGATAAACTGGAAGCCTCTACACTTCCCAGCAGGACCCTGAGCTTGCTACGCTTTCCTGTCGAGGTCACTCCCGTGGGGTGTTTACGTACCCTATTTTGACACAGGCACGCAACCAGAATCAGCAATCTTGGTCTTAGCCATACATGCACCGAGTAGAGGTTGGTGGTCTTATTAGATGTACAGGACCAAGTATGATGTTTGCCTGGAGTTGCTAGCAAGCACCCTTTGTACATGTACTTCATTTGCAATTGGCTCATAAGATTTTCTCTCTCATATTTCCAAAAGCCAAAAGCTAAAACAAAAACAAAAACAATGATCAAGCCAAGTATCTTCCTTGTTGGAGCCTCTCTATCTCAGCTCTTTTTCATTCTCATTTCCCAGACCAGTGGATACATCGTTGACAGCGATGTTAACATCAAGGTCAGGCCCTTCCATCGGAGTCCAATCAAGCAAGCAGCTGCAGCAACTGCATTGCAGTTGCCATCACAACAAAAATCCAAGTCTGTTGCCCTGGATCCATCACAGTACAATGCAGCACGAATCAAACGAGGTCAACAGTTCTTTCAGGACAATATGGTTGCCATTGCCAATTCATGGGGCATCATCATTGTTGCAGGCTTTGCTGACACCGAAATGGCTAGTGCCCTTCTTTCTACCAAGGCAACAGATACTGCAGAGAAGGCCCAAAAGCGGTACATACGGACTTTCCAAGACTTGTTGTACTGGCACACTCAAGACCTATTTGACCCCAGATCTCCAGCCGTGAGACAACTCGGGGCTGTCAAATCAATGCACAATCGTGCAGCTGCTTCGATTGTTGCCAAGGCCAACAACAAATCATCCAAGTGTCCCTTTTCATCAGCAGCACGCAACCTTGTCAAATTGACTTGTCCTCACACTAGTGGCACAAAAGGACCATCAAACCAAGCAGAGTTCATTCAGTCAGTCATGGCCAGAACACAAGCTTCGTTTGTCGCCATGGTGGTCACAAATCCAAAGAGTTTTGGAATTTATGACCAGCGTGGACTGGAAGACTTTGTTTATTTGTGGTGGGCTCTTGGAAAGGAGCTGGGAATAGAGGACGAGTACAATATGTGCTCCAGCCTTGCCACTGCCAAGAAGTTTGTGGCTGACGAGTACACAACGAACACAGCTCCTGCATTGGCAGCATTG